CCCCGCGTCCCACCGCGCGGTAATCATGCGGCGATAATGTGTAATACGCGACGGAATCTCACATTTTTTCTTTAAATTTCAACTCGTTTGAATACAGGCTGTTTGGTTGATTAGAAGCCGATATCATCTTGAAATACATTTTATTTTATTTTCTGTATTATACATTGAGGTATATTTGGCATATTGAAAAGTGTCTTACATCTTAGGTAATAAGTTTTCTGCAAGTACTACCCTTCTAAGAACCCCCAATAGCAGCTCTAAGATTTCAGTCTACTACAGGACTAAGGTCTAAGATTTATTTATTTAAAAATTGCACAAAAAAAGCCAAGGCCAATTTCCTGGTGCACTTTCAAGTAATTACATCTTGCATAGGTACTTCTAAAGCTTTCTCGAAATTCAAGTTAATTATCGATGTCAGAAATCCGAGTTTTTTTTTAACCAAAAGTAATAAGATAAGATGCGATAAGTTCCTAGTCAGTCAGTTTTTATCGAAAAGTGTTGAAGCCCTATCCAAAGTCTTTACCAAAGCTCCAACCAAAGCCATAGGCTTAATATAACCCCAAAACGCTTGCGAGTGACCACAATAACACCCTGTATTAAACCAGTGGTTTCTCAAGCAGCGTGTCTAACTGCCGAAATCGTGCATGTCATTGGTGGCTGTGAGATCTTTAGCTCCGATTAGCCGTGCAAATAAAAAATAAACGGCCACTGACGACTGACGGACTGTCAAACTGGACTTCTCGGAGTATGGACTTGAGACTTTTAAGAAGGATCGATCTTCGTCAACTGCTGGTCTGTGTTTTGTGGTCTCGCTCATAAATAATATGACATTTTATTTTAATAACAAAAATTTTCCTTCTTTCTTTTCTACCAAGCCAAGGGACCAGAAAATTCATTCGTCGTACATATTTAGGAACGTTACTCTTTCTAGAGGCCCAATTGCCAGTTGTAATATTGTAACTTTTTTTAATGCCGATGTAGATGTGTTTCACTTAGGTCAAAAACATTTATTGCGATTTTCATATTGTAGTTAATATGATCCTATAGGTCATTAGCTCGAAACATTATATTACCCATTACGAGTCTGTAATTCTAAGGCTGGGTTGCACCACCTTACTTCAAAAGTCTGACAAACTCCATAATATACAAAAACACCGGTTATGGTTATAGTTACGGATAAAGTAAAATGGTGCAGCTTAGCCTAAGTTAGTAGTTTAAGCAGTCGCAACCAAACCGAGGTGATCATTGGCTATATTCAGAAGAAAGCTATTAGGAGACAAATTGGTTCCCGATCGATTCCGGCGACGCTTTGTTGTGTCCGACTCGATTTACCGACTGTCGTCGTGTGGAAACGCGTTTTTTGTTCGTTGGACAGATCGCAGAACAGTAAAAAGCATTTATTTGGTGTTTTGTTGATTTGGATAACGTTTCCGTGTGACTTTTTGGGGTCTTAACTGGTTTTTAATTGTGGAATAAATTAATACTGACGCTATACTTACTATTTAACTATCTATCTTCTTCATGACTGTATTCTTCTTACGATTGTGTAGTAAACTTGTCCTTTTGATTTATAAGGAGAAGGTACTCTTTAATTATTCATCAATATTCATGAATACTTATTATGATTCAGCCATGTTACAAGATAAGCTTGAATATGACTTAAAAGAATAAAGCGTTATTTTCATCTAATAAGGGAGAGTCCGGTAATTAAATGAGGGTGGTACAATTTACCCGGCGGTACAATATACCGAATTCTCCCCTATTGTGTTTCCATTTCCTGAAGCCACCAGTTCTTGAATTCAGATTTAAGCTCCGATAAATTAAAATTAAATTAAAGAAGAACACAAGGTTGTAAATTAAGGTTGTTGTTACGAATTAAATACAGAATTAGGAAGTAATCGCAGTACCTAACCTACGATTATCTACCATATGTTACATTATGGCGATGCAAATAAATATCTATCTATCTATTATGTTATGAGCACATTTTACCTTTTACCAAATTACAATAATTTATCGGATATCATCGCATAAAAACATAAATCGATTTGGAAAAAGTTATTCTCCTTTCTTCAATGGAGTTTTAGCGGTAGCATATTATACAAAATCACAGCCAGACCCACTTTGGTTGTCATGTACACTTAACTTCATAAAAATCTATACACCATTTTCCTACACACAAATCAGTCTTACAAATGAGATTTTCCAAAATTGCATTATTTTCTCTAACAAAACAAAAAATAATATAACAAGAAGTTTGGCTATGTAACTAGGTATTATAATTTTTTCGTTTGCTTACATACGCAATTAAAATAGCAATGCTCTTCCGCCATCAGTACCTAGTCAACATCTCCACAAAAAATTTGAATGTTTCAAATGCATACCTACATCTGAAAAATATGAAAAAGGTGCGATTTTTGTGCCCTCGAGTGTATTAAAGTATTAACTAGTTCAAAGGACTAACGGTGTAGCGAATAGCGACCGTTAACCCTGCGAATGCCATGCAGGTCCGTCACGACGTCACGACTACTTTTATGTCGTAAAGTACTTGGGAAAAGTTAAATATCTGAAAGAACTTGTAGAATGGGTGCGGTTTTGGCCTTATTTAATATTTATTATTACTCTTTTAAAGTGCTAAAGCGGTTTTTTATGATTTAAAATGTTCAGTTTGTCCTATTTAGATACCCAATTGTACTTATTTATACCTACGTATTTGTCGATCTTATTTAAGGTGTTTGAGAATTTTAAGAATATATTTTTGAAGTAGAGCTGAAATATGAATCTAGTTCTCTCAATATTTTGTAATGGGGATGAAAGGAGCTTAAATTCTTTCTTGAAGTAATTGAAGTCCTTCCTTTCAGGATTTATTTCAAGTTCGTAGTACGAAAACAATACAGTGACTTTTTGCCATTTATGAATACGTAACGGNCGCGTTTTTTGTTCGTTGGACAAATCACAGAACAGTAAAAAGCATTTATTTGGTGTTTTGTTGATTTGGATAACGTTTCCGTGTGACTTTTTGGGGTCTTAACTGGTTTTTAATTGTGGAATAAATTAATACTGACCCTATACTATGTAACTATCTAATATCTTCTTCATGACTGTATTATTCTTAAGATTTTGTAGTAAACTTTCCTTTTGATTTATAAGGAGTAGGTACTCCTTAATTATTTAATGAATACTTACTATGGATTCAGTCATGTTATAAGTTAAGCTGATTGGGCTGACTTTACCATCGTCGGATAACTTTTATTTAGAGCATAAACTTGTCATTTTGACATATTTTATTACAAGCTTTATATTGACTTCACTTGTTATAGTCTTTTTAGTTTTTTAGTACAACTGCATTTCAGAATAAAGCTTGTTTTTAAAAAAGTTTTTTTCTCATACTGAAACTGCCATCTGTGCCAAACTTAATCTTGAGTTAAAAGTTATCCGACGATGGTAAAATCGGCCATAGCGTTATTAATCAAATACAGATTTAGGAAGTAGGTAATCGTAAATTACAACCCATCAAAAACATTTACTTGTCAAAAAAACCAAGTCTCGCAACTCAGTTGTTCTACGGTAAAAAGTTGTGAGATCCATGTAATACCAAGTCCGGCCAGGAAATCTTTAACGTTTTACATAAATTATTGACTTGGCCATCGCATGAAAACACGTGTAAATTAAATTATTTAGTTGATACAGGGTCGAAAATGGCCTGAATTGCTTCGAGAAAAGGATGGTACGGCCGTGCCGCTTTTTTGCTCGACTTGGTGGGGGCACTGCCGTGCCCCCAGATAATTTATCGGACATCATCGCATCTAAACATGAATCGTTTTGGAAAAAGTTATTCTCCCTTCTTATTCTTATTATTATTATTTTGTTTGCTTACATACGCAATTAAATTAGCAATGCTCATCCGTACCTAGTTAATATCTCCACAAAAAATTAGAATGATTTAGACGCATACATCTGAAAAATATGAAAAAGTTGCGATTTTTGTGCCCTCGAGTGTATTAAAGTATTAACTAGTTCAAAGGACTAACGGTGTAGCGAATAGCGACCGTTAACCCTGCGAATGCCATGCAAGGTCCATCACGAATTCACGACATCACGACTACTTTTATTTCGTAAAGTACTTGGGAAAAGTTATTAAATATCTGAAAAGACTTATAGAATGGGTGCGGTTTTGGCCTTATTTAATATTTATTATTACTCTTTTAAAGTGCTAAAGCGGTTTTTTATAATTCAAAATGTTCTTTTTGACCTATTTAGGTACCCAATTGTACTTATTTATACCAACGTATTTGTCGATCTTATTTATGGTGTTTGAGAATTTTAAGAATATATTTTTGAATTTTCATTCCTTTGAATTATCATAAAGAGTTAAGTAGAGCTGAAATATGAATGTAGTTCTCTCAATATTTTGTAACAGGCATGAGAGGTGCTGAAATTCTTTCTTGAAGTAATTGAAGTCTATCCTGTAAGGATTTATTTCAAGTTCGTAGTACGAAAACAATGCGGTGACTTTTTGCCATTTATGAATACGTAACGGTACACGTAAACACGTAGAGCCGCGGCGCAACACAAACACGTTAATAGCTTAAATCGCTGGCGGCCGCGGCCCGAAACCCATTAAGTTCAAAACTCAATAAACATCATTGTTCCAGCGCTTAACTAGGAAAATAACCGCGCACGGCCGCCGGGGGCCGCTTTAGCCCGATCTTCAGCGACCTCAACCTCTAAAATTCATAAGTCAATTTCCTGCACCATTAATACGTAACGAAGTAGCGCAAATGGCGTTATCGCTTGTGCGCGATTACTTGCCCGCCGCTCTCTTACATAATTCAACGTATTAAACGAAATTGTTTAAACCTTATTGCTCGATTACGTTTCTCCACCCCGGGCACGCCTCGTTTGCCGCCGCCAATCGGGAGCGCGAGCTGCTGGCCCCCACCGCGTGTGCCCCGCCCGCCTCTAGCCAGCCAGTTGACAGCGTGTTGTGATGCCCGAATGTTCAGCCGCGCCGGACGTGGGATTACAGTGCGAATTGAGGGTTAAGAATTCGTACGTACTTTGATGAGGACGAATGTGTGGAAGTGTTAACCGAACGGTTGTTGATCGTATGTTTTGGCGACGAGTATTCAGGATATAGGCGGTGCTATGACGATGCTCGCGATGGCGCGAGGATCGGAGGACAGGCGCGAGGAGCCTGATGGGGAGACTGAGGCGGAATGCGAGGCGAACGGGGAGGTGGACGTCGTGGGGGTGGAGGAGGCGGCTCCGGTGGACCTGACGCGGCGGCTGGGGCTGACCAGGCCTCCTGAGAGGCAGGCCATCGCGTTCTCCGTGGAGAACATCCTGGACCCCAACAAGTTCACGGGACGGTCCGAGGTGCCGCTGAGATACGACGAGCAGTACTGGAGGCCGCACTACGACCGGGATGACAGTGACTCCGGTGAGTTTAGGGTTAGATATTGTTTTGTTTTTTCTTCGGCTTCTGAGAGTCCGTGTTTTTGGGTAGCAAATTAGATTTAAAAAAATTATGGTAGGAACTCATTCAGTTCTTGTAAATCCCATTTTTATGCGAATCATTTTTATGACACAGATAAATTAATTAAGGTGCTGTGTATAAAATATAGTCCAGTAAAATTACTAAACCGTAGGTAGAGACACTAGAAATAACATGATTTTTTTTTTCGAACGAAACGAACAAATTTTTGTCTTTATAGCATGTTACAGTTTTTTTCTCAATTTCTGCCATTATTTGTGCAAATAATAATGCCAATGCAACTTCACTAGTTTTTGTGAAAGTTTTGAACAACGAACTCGTACGGAAAGAAAAGTGACTTAATTAAAACACAAACTGCACTTACTGCACTTAACTAGTTTCTACTGTAGTCAATTAAATCTTTTTGCTATGGATTTTTTTTAAGAATTATTAGTGTATTTGTTTTACTGTTTTTTGAATTAATCAGATTGTATTAAGTGCTATGAACTCTATCGCAGTAAAGTCTATTTAATGCAAAAATGTGTTTAATTAATATCTACAACTTGCTAGTGTATTGTGCTATCATAGTAAAGTTGTAGAGCAACATTAATATTGTAATTTTATTTCTCTAAAAAAATCTACAGATTTTGATAAGCAGAACATAAAAAAATATTAAAAACATATTGTATTAGAGTAGGTATAAATAGTGCCTTCATTTATAAGACACACTTATAAATAATACACTGCAATAAATTTTATTGGATTAAAGTTAGTGCCGTAAAAATTAGGAAACTTTAATTAAAAAATAATCATTTTAACTGAACGTCAACGTATTAAAACAAATATGCATCGTCTTCTTTTATTCTTTTACTTCTTTCTTCTTTTACTAAGTATATTTCCTTTTTTTTTGCTATATCTATTTTACATAACAATGAGTCTATTTTATTTTATCTAATGTACTAATCTTATCTAGACGTAGATATTTTAACTTTTTTAAGATAATACAAATTATACATCGTTTACAAGAACCTTCTCTATTTTCGCTTTACCGTAATGTATTTTACTCGACAATGGGTCTATTTAGGCTCGATTCTATGCTCAGGCTGCTAAATAGAAGCTAACGGGTGCTGACAAGCCACTCACTTTCAATAAAGTAATATACAGGGTGTTTCAAAATCCGTGACAAGTGAAAAGACTATAGAAAATAGATAAAATCATTCCGAGGCATTAAATTCGCAAATTGTTATAAAATGTTTAGTGCAATAAAGAATGATGAATAAATAAATCTACTATTCTTTTGTTGTAAGTACCTAAATGCAAACATGTACCTAAGTAACGCAGTATTAAAAATAAAATTCCAATGGACATTGATGAAACTTTTCGTTGATGAAATATTCCTTACCTAGGTATCACGAGTTCAATAAACAAATCTGGTGTCAGACTTAAGAGGTGTCATCGTTGGGCAGCTGTCACGGTTCATTTGTACCGAAATCATCAAAATTAGTCGGGTATAAAAGAGTTTATAATTTTCGTAGATCGCGGCGCGCTGTATTCGCAATATGAAAATGTATGGTGATTCCGACGGATGCGAGAGAGACGCGCGGCAAACGGCTAAAGCGTCACCATACATTTTCATAGCACGGAATTTTGATTCAATGTACTATCAACGAAGCATGATAACTTAAAAAAATGTTTCGTTTGCACGAAATTACCATACTCAATCGCACCCACAATTTTGTCTTTTGTCCATTAATTTGAAAACATATGGGCGTTGGGTCTAGTCGTTGCGAAGAAATCTAAGGTGGTCAAGCGTCAACTTTGTTATGGGACACCCTGTATTATGTGAGCGAGCAAAAAGTCATCGTCACGTACTACATGATAGAGACGTCAAGAGTGTCAGGGAAACCAATTACCAATTTATTGATACCGTGATTCGAACTGCACGTTCAATACCGTTATCTCAACGAAATAAAGCCTCAAATTGATTAAACTGAACACAGATAGCTGTACAAAAGGTTTGTCCGTATGTCACGTACTCAATCAAGAGCATAATGGCATTTCCTATTTGGTCTATTTAAAAGTGGTCTAATTATTATTTATTTGTTAAAGCAAATCAGTTTTTTATTAAACGCCGGCATTTATTTATTGTGACAAGAAATTGTTATTCTGCTCAATTACTCGTGTAATTTCTATGATCTGAGCGTGTAATGAATGGGTACAGAAAAATGGTTTCAGTTAGAAAAGTTTTCAGATACCTATCTATTTTAGAGAGTCGTTTTTACACCAACTTTCAAATTGTATAAAAAGCAAAATAAGTGATTTATATATAATTATAACTTAAATGCTACTATTAAATTTTGAAATTGATCTTACTTCGAAATAATGAGGTTACAATAATATTTTTTTCTAGATTTTGTGTAGAATTGCTTTTTAGCAATTGCAAAAAATCTAGAAAAACTTTAGCAGACCTATTAATTTTGACATTCAATAATGTAATCTATTTTGATAAGTAAGCATACCTAGTTACTTAATAACGTAATTCCATTTGTTTTTTATATCTTTTACTGAGCGATGCTAGCTAATTTGTTTTTATTTACGCAACCCCTGAAAAAATCGCCAAATTACTAATTTTCATATCGCTGTTCTTTCCAAACTTTCAAATTGCCTGTCCCCAATGTTTTAAGGATGATAACCATAATTTAGGGGCCACTTTATTCGAATAAAAGCACAATATCTCAATCGCAGTGCCACCGGCGAGGAAGCAGTAAATTTGTCGGCGCACACGGCTGTTTGGATATTGATTTATACGCACGACCACCGGTCAGGAGCCATCTCAATTTTAAACCTGCTTGAAACAGCTGAAATAACATTTCTGATTGTAAATAAACACATTGACAATTATTTAATTATCATCACTTACCATCAGGTGAGATACAGGCCAAGAGCTTCCTCGTTGTGGTTAAAAAAAAATTACATCGCGCAGTTAAAACCTGCAATTTCTTACTATGGTTTTATAGGTTTCTTATCGCTTTATGTGATAAAAAATTTGTTATAATAAAAAAATCGACAAATTTTATGCGTGTAATAATAAGTAGAAGAAACTCTACCTCTTAAACAGGCCTTTAAAATCTGATAAATATACCTACAGATATCATTGCTAGTTTACGATTGAAATTAGAACAAAAATGTACCACCAGTTTAGTGTGTAAAAAAAAAACGAGGATATGGGCTGCCTTTTCTTAACATTTATCAAAGTAGCTTAATTATGTACCTACTAAGCCACAAGAGATGACTGGAAACAGTTTGTATTTAGGAATTTACAAAACATAAGTACCTCAACAAGATCCCTAAAATTATAAAGCTTTTTTCATAAAAGCTTCATAGCTTTTATTGCTTTCAAAAGAGCCTTATCCATTAAATCCCATGTTTCTTGATGAAGATAACTATAACATTAAGTATTATTTCCACATCTTAATATGAGAATGCATCTCAATCGAGTGGGAAGCTGTTAGGCTGTCGTCATGGCCGGCTGCGCGGTGAATTATGTTGGACGCGCAGGACGCTGATTTATGGACCGAAGTGTTGATCCAGTTCGGTTTTAGGAAAGTTATGCTTTAGCGTATCGAGATTAAAAAATAATTGGCTTAGTTGTTTGGCCTAAATGTATAAATTAGTAAGTACGTACAAATTATCAAATTTTGAGCTTTTAAGAAGCCTTTACATGTCCCATGATTTTTTGCTCTATCAGTTTGACAAGTGCTTACAAACAATTAAATAACTTAAATTGATGTTATATATTATTTACTTACTGATGTAGGTAATGTTTTCAATGTTTTGTTTTCACGACAGAGAGTTTCAGGGCCTCTCCCTGAAACCTAATCAATCTTTACCAAAATAATTTATCTTAATTAATTTAGAGGAGTAAATGATACTTACATTTGCAGTTTGTGATTACTACTTCTTTGAGTAGGTATATTTATGGTTAAAATGTACAAATCAATAAAAATGAAGTCAGCTTTATGCAAAGCCACTAGGCATCGCACTCGATAACATCAATTTTTATTTAAGCCTTCTAATTTTGCGCTTTGACCAAAGTGGGACCTCTAAAACAAGTGATTTTTGTGTGTCCAATCAGGAAAAAAAGTCCAAAATCTCTTAAAAATGCTTACAGGTAGAACATAATTTTAAAAAGATCAGAAAATACTTGCAACCTCGCCACACCTAATTAAAATCTTAATTCCCCTGCCATACCATCGTCCAATCAATTGTGCAATCGTAATCGAAGTGTGGAAGCTGTAAACCTATCATCGGCGCGCGCGCACGCCTTTGATTTACGGCGACACGTCGCGGCGCAGCGAGGAATGTTGCGCGGACTATCAACATATTGACATGCTGAAAACCGTTGTGTATTTTACAATCAACGGCCATGTTTTTGGCAGTGATTTAAATTACTGTACAAGATAATGATCTAAAGATTTCTAGAGGATGGAGGTATGTTTCTACTAGTTACCCTGGACGTGCATCAAAGAGGCGTAAAATTCCATCTCTTTATTTTTTGTCAAAGAGTATTTTGAGTAAATCGTCTGATAGTCTCATAGACTCTACGCGTGATTTTGAAACTGTTTTCAGGTTTTGCTTTTTTGGACTTTGGTTCTATTGAATAAGCACGGAAACAGCTTTCTTATTTCTAATCTTATTGCAATAACATTATTTTCCATCAATCCAATTGTATTGAATTATTAATGGTATAAAGTTTATACCTCAAATCATTCCAGAAACAACAAATCACTAATTTGTGCAATAAAGCACACCGTTTTTCAGCTAGGGTTTCCTAACTACAAGTACTTGATATTATGCGCTGTACGGTTTTAAAGAAGCTTTTACATAAGATAAGATATAATCACATAAATAGAAAATGCCTGACCCCTGAAAACCTTGAGAGAACTATAGGCAGGTTTTGTATTTTC